TCTGAGTGCCAGAAACAAATTGAAAACTTGAAGAGCAGAACCATGGCAACCTTCCATCATTTTATACTTGGCTGCAATGCTCAGGGTCCAGAAGCTGGTCTGATGCTTCACTGAGGCGGAGGAGCTGGGACTAGACCCTCAGGTGAAACCTGGAGCCTTAATAACAAACTTCCTGCCAGCCACAGAGGCTGGAAAACTCTACCTACTAGTCTGGGAAAAAGGCAAAGAAGTATGTTATTTGTCTCAGTGTTTGCGTAGGGGACAAAACCAAAAGGTACCTGTGAGAAATAAAAACCTAGGCATACAATAGGTATAAATTTACAAGCTCTTCATAATTCAGTAACTGTTATAGGACAGGGAGAGGGGCAGCCCAAACCCCCGCAAACCTGCCTATTCTAAATGGGTTCTGCCATCCGCCGCATCAACACAAAACATGAGACTTTAATGGGAAGGAACTTTAATAAAACTAGGAAACAATACAGGAAAGGCAAAGAGTCTAGTTTCTAAATAAAGCACCCAAAGTTACCCGTCCCCTCGTGGGTAAAAGTCCATCCAAATGGGACTGGCCCAGAGCAAGGCCCCAAAGCCTGCCACAAGTCTAAAGCATCTTCCAGTGGGGACCCACAGAAAAGGGTCACAAACAACCAGACAAGCCCGGAAGGAAAAGAGCAAAATCAACATCAAGATAAAAGCTGCCATTGTCACCTCCCCATGGGTCTCACCCACATCTGTGTCACCCCGTCCACGACCAAAAGACAAGCGCAGTTTCTTCACGTGTCTCTAGGCTCCATGCGCCTCCTCCAGGTCTCCTGGCTCCATCCTGCTTCCTTCCTCAGTCTCTTCTGCAGCTTCTCCTCTTCCTGCTCAGCTCCACCCTCCCTTGGGTGGGGCAGGGAACCTCCCCCTTTCCTGGGACCACCCTGTTACATAACCACAAACTGAAAAATAATCATTTACAAATGCTCTAGCATCTTTAAGAGCCAAACAACCCTGGCAAAAGCAAATGCCTAATTGCTCTGAGGAGACTCACCATTCAGAGAATTAGAGACTCCCATAAACAAAACAACCCGATCTCAGTAGGAAATAAATCTCAATGAGTAAGCAAGCATCAGCACCTGGTGTAAACAACGGAGTTAGGAACTCGAAAGCTGGAAATAACAGAAGTACCTAAATCAGATTATAATGATATGTAACTTGATTGAAGAAGCAAAAACAGCAATCATAATAAAATAGGCGGATTTTACAAAGAACCAAACAGGAGTTTTCAAAACATTGTCATTGAAATGAAAATCAATGAGTGGAACCAGATCTCATTCATTCATATATAGGTGAATGAATATAATCACCCCTTCATTAATCTTCCCTTTAAGCTCTCAGATGTGTTTTTTTTTCCCAAGTTTGTCAAATTATACTGGGTGTATTCCAAATGCACTGCCACTGGATACAACCTTATTTCTGCAGTGAAGGTAGTTATTTTTTCTTTTATGTTCAGTTACAGAAAGAGAGGTTTCAACCCAGCTCCCTTTAAGAACTACTTAGGACACCTAGATTAGAAAAGCACACCCAAGAAAATAGCATCCCTCCAAAGCCCAACCAGTATAAGACCAAATATTTCCTAAGTCCTTCATTATGGTTTCAGCATCCTTGCTGGTGCTGCCGCTTTCCACAGAAAGACTAAGAAAACTCTAGCAGCCCATCAGTCTGGTTCAAGCTTTCGAAAACTGATCCATGGTGATGAAACAAAAACAGTACTTTATACTACATCTACCCCATGGTTTCTTCATTTTTAGCCCCCCTCTTCCAAATTAGGAGTGTATTAGTGGCTTTGTCTTCTCTACTAAAGACAAAGACTAAAACTGATAAAAAATTTCCCCTTTTGTAGGCAATTTTCATTTTAATAAGTACTTTTAGTGAAGGTAATTAGATGGCTATATTCTTATAACTTTCCCAAAGTCCTTATTAAGCAAAAGTGCATGCACATATACGTTTTATTCACTTAAATATCAAGTAGTTATTAATGTACTAAATAAATGCAAAGGTTAATACTGTCTGCTTAATGCTTAAAATTTTCACTGCAAGAAAAACTTCATTTCTCAACCTTATACTTGTTGGCAATAAAATTCCATATTCACAAAGTGAATAAATGAAATAGACACAACTAAAAATAAATGTATTAAATAGAATTGATATAAGTGAGGAGCTGTGGAGTATAGAAGATGCAGAATCAAAGTGAACAAAGATAACTGCTTAACTGTATTGATGTTGGGCCATAGTAAGGCTGATAATGACTGACTTTACAGAAAGAGATAGGATAGGAAATAAATGAATTCTTTCTCAAACTCCACCCCCCCAAAAAAACTTATGTCAACTGAAATAATTGTTGTGAACACATGCCAAGTTTAGGGAAAGAAATTTATTAAAGAGGCTATTCAGAACCAAACTTAGGGTCCTACTTAGTTTGGAAGTGACTAGTCCCTGTTCTCCATCACAGTTTTTGATTTATATAGGTAAGTTACTTACAGAGAAAGAATACATAATTATTTAACAAAGGAGAGAAGACATCTAGCTAATTTCTAACATTTTCAGTTAACTAAAGGAGTCTGATTTCTAACAAACAACTGGTTAAAGAAAAACACTGTTCATAACTTTAAAGCAATCCCTTGGATTTACAGTCAGTTTAGTCAGAGAGATCTGTTTAGGAAGATGTAAGGACCCAAAATTATTTGAATCTTATTCTAAAAAGTACCATTGCAGAAGTGGTACCATTATTCTAAAAAGTACCACTGCAGAAGGCCCATTATTTCATATTCTTTCCTACAACTGTCAGACATGACAGGCCTCTGTGAACATTCCTTTGTTTCTTACTCCAGGGATTTTCAGTGAATGAGAATCGATGTCTACAAACTCCATCTTCTGGAAATGACCCTGGAAGAGTGAAGGTAGACATTTTCCAACAGAATTTTCTTTTCACGGTGCACTTATTTTACTTTTAAATTGAGAAATTCTAACACAGGCCATTTCTTGATAGTTTAAGACCTGTGCCCAATACTATAGCCACTCCGGGGCCAAGAGAGAAACTTTCAATGTGTAGCCTAAAACAGCATACAGGATGCACCAACTTTTTTTTTTTTTTTTAAATTTATTTATGCATACAAGAACGGGGATACAGGCCAGAGAGAGGTGCGAGGGGTGAGAGGATTCACACCAGAGATGAAGTGGGGAGCAGAAAAGGCAGACTGACTGAAATACACTGCTGAGTGGAGCAGGGGGTGAGTCAGGAGAGGTCTGCTGCACCATATGGGTAGTTCCCTGGGCCAAGGAATCTAACTGGTGCTGCAGATGCTGCTGATTGCTTCATAGGTTGTGTGTTAAACCCTTGTGCCACCAGGGAGGCCCAAGATGCACCAACTTTTTATAAATCAACTAGTACAGACCACACCCACTGAAGCTAAGCCTTTCCAAATCTATTAGTATCAATGTGCTTAACTGTGGGCATTTTTTTTTTCAAGAAAGTATAATACACACTAACAACAGGCTGTTATTAGCACTACTGGATTCTTTCCCAAAAAAAAAAAAAAAAAAAAAAAAGAAGTACTATAAAATATTTAGGAGTAAACGCTCTAGAGCAAGGCTGCTTGGGAACACATTCCTCCTCTTCCAGTAACTACTCACGTTTCTAACTCTTCCTCTGACTCAGTTTGCTCATCTGTAAAATGAGAACACAACACACGTTTCATAGGGTTGGTGTGGAGGGTTTTTATTTTTTTTTTTTAATATTAAATTTTATTTTTATATTCCCCCATACAATTGCAAACGCCCCATTCTGACCCCAATCCTTCCCCTCCCGCCCCCCACCCCCCAAAAAGTGTCTCTGGTTCATAGTTTTTTGTTGATTTTGATTTTCACTTTCTTATATTCATTTTCCTGGTCCCTTATTTAAGTTTTCTAGATTCCTGCTATGAGTGAGACCATCCGGTATTTTCTTTCTTTTTGGCTTATTTCGCTGAGCATGATCCTTCCAGCGCCATCCATGTTGCTGCAAATTGCATGTGTTTATCTTTTTTGAATGCTGAGTAATATTCCATGGTATATATGTACCACATCTTCTTGATCCAGTCATCTATTTTTTGGCATTTGGGTTGTTTCCAAAGCTTAGCTATTGTAAACAGTGCTGCTATAAACATAGGGGTGCAGGTGCTCTTTGGAATTGACGTTTCTGTGTCCTTTGGGTAAATACCTAGGAGTGGAATTGCTGGATCATATGGAAGCTCTATGTTTAGTAGGTCCAGAAATCTCCACACAGCTCTCCATAGTGGTTGGACCAGTTTGCACTCCCACCAACAGTGCAGAAGAGTTCCTTTTTCGGTGTGGAGGGTTTTTAAATGCATTTCAAACCCAAGCTGGTGCAAATTGTAACATACTAACGGTTCCAAACTTTCCCCAGATGTCCTGCCATTGCGCCTACGGCTCTTTAGAAGTGCGGCGAACACCTATTGTCCAGCACCGCTACCCGCCCCCTACAATTTCCTTTTGCCCAGAAGTGCTCAACGCTGCACCGTCGTCCCTCTGCACTTGGAAACGAGATGAAAAAGCCCGCCAAGGTCAGAGCCTGCGCGGGGCGGAGCCCGAACGCGACCCACAGATCTCAGAAGCCTGGCGCCTCCCAAGCCCCAACAAAGCGCAGCTTCCATTCTGGGAGAAGCTGAGCCAACACCGAGAGATTCTGAGGCTTCTGACCCAGAAGAACACTTTCCAAAGAAGCCCCCGCCTCGGTCCGGTCCGCCGCCCGACACACAGCAGTTAGCGCGGGGTGGAGGTGTGGGGGGAGGCGCCCCGCCCTGGAGGAGGCGGGGTCTCCAAAACGTGGGCCGGGCGGGGCGGGGCCTGCGACGCGCGGGGTCCCGCGGTTGCGATGCGGGCTGTCCGAGACGTGCCGGACGCCGATCTCAACATTCGCCGCCTGCCTGTTTCGTCCTCAGGCACGTGCTGTGGCACTCTCGGAGCTTTCTTGGTCGCGACTCTCTTTTCTATCTCCCTGTCTCTTTGATTGTGCGATACGAAAGAAAAATGGAACCCCCGTAAACCAGGCATCTCGTAGGCACCCGCCGAAGAAACAGGCAAGGGACGTGGGGTCCTTTGCTCGCGCCGAAATTCAAAGAAATAAATAGTTCCGGCGCTGGTTCTGGACGCGGGCGAGTGCTGCTGCGGCTATGGTGGAATTTGCTTCCTAGCGCCCGGGGTTGGGCAGCGTTGTGGGCTCTCCGCCCCGGTGACCAGGGCCTTTCTTGTGAGCCTCAGGCCCGGGCAGCTTGGCGCGGCGGGGAGGCAGGTGCGTGCGCGCGGCCTGTTGGGCCTAGCCTGGCACTTGTGGCGGGAGTCGGGGGTGGGGGCGGGGGGAGAAAAGCACGGAGTGACCTAGGCTGGAATTAGCCTCAAGGGTTCCAGGCAGGACAAGTAGTTTTTCTGCAGCCTTGGAGTCGGGCGAAGAAGTGTTGGCTGAAAGGTGTGGTTAGGCGAGGAAATAGCTGTGAGTAAAAGCAGGAAACTGAAGGATATCTGGAATTTATTTAATAAATATTCGCTGACCCCTCTTACCCTGCATAAAGGTGTGGAGGTTGGCGAAGAACCTAGAGGAACTTACACTATAAATTGGGGAGACCTATCTTAGTGTGTGTTAATGCAAGGAAGGAAATAGAAATCAGTGAGGGGGTGGGTAGAGGTGTCTTTTTATATAGGGCGGTCAGGAAGCATCACAGCAAGATGACGTTTGAGCAGACCTAAGTGCAGTAGAGTAAGCCTGCCTGTATTTGGGAGAAGCATGTGATGGAAAGAGGGAATGAAATGTAAAAAAAAAAAATCAGTAGTCTGTATTAGGTGGGATATGGTAACAGGGAAAGAGAAGCCTGGAGGCCTAAGTAGTTCACTGCCAGGTTGAATTAATGGTTTAATTAACTGGTGGTCCCCAGGAAAGGGGGAGTTTCCCTGTTACAGTACTAACTTGTCTGTTTTTAAAATGGAGAAAGGTATCTTTATATCCGAATAAATAGCTCGGCAGGTGGGTATTTTATTTCTATTAAACCGTCATTCTTATGTTTTAGTCTTTTGCATTCCAGGTTTACATTCCGCTTATGTGTTGTTTCTGTTTTGTACAGAACTCCTGTGACCTGTTTGATTCTTAGTAGAAACTGACTTATCCGGCCCAGTAGGAAAAATGCATATTAAGTCAATCATTCTTGAAGGATTCAAGTCCTACGCTCAGAGGACTGAAGTCAATGGTTTTGACCCCCTCTTCAATGCCATCACTGGTTTAAATGGTAGTGGAAAATCCAACATATTGGACTCCATCTGCTTTTTGCTGGGTATCTCTAATCTGTCACAGGTAAAGTATAAGCTTTCTGAAAAACTTCAGTTTAAGCTTGACGGGAATCCTCTTTGAACTTGGAGATTATTGTCAGTATTTTCTATTCATTTACCCTTTTCACTTTATGATCTCATGCATCACTGCAGTCCTTTAAAGGTGAGCATTACTCCATTTTGGGGGTGAGAAAGTAGAAACTTATCGAAGGTTCATTCTCTTAAGATGTTTGAAGCATCACTCAACCTAACACATTCTCCCTTTAAAAGTCAGTCTCATTCCAGAATCCAGCATTATATTGTCTTTTTAAAGTCTACTGAAATTGAATGAATAGGCATTGCGGTTATTCAAATGAACGTTTGTTAAGAAACAAATGGAAAACAATTCAGGGTTCAGAAATCCAATGGAGAAAGGTGCCAATTGCAGATAGTTACCTCTTCTCCTTACTTGCTTTGCCAGAGACTGTGACAGCCTTTCTTTAGCTGCTTAATGAGTACCACATAGGTGGTTTTCCAACAGCAAGAATCTTTACTGATGTTTAGTGCAGTATGGGGTTTTGTAATTGATAAACTGTTCCTTTATTTTAGGTTCGTGCCTCTAATTTACAAGATTTAGTTTACAAAAATGGGCAAGCTGGTATTACCAAAGCCTCAGTGTCAATCACTTTTGATAATTCTGACAAAAAGCAAAGTCCTTTAGGATTTGAAGTTCATGATGAAATTACAGTAACAAGGCAGGTGAGTGGTTATTAAATGTTTGGATACTTAAGAATTGGTGTCTGTTGTGTTTTTTGGCAGTATGACTCTGCTGAGTAAAACAAAATTCCTTAAAAATATCCTTCTTCTGTTAAAATTTTGATCAAGAATATTTCACTATTAGCCAAGAGAATTGAAAGGGATGTGAAAACTAATGCTTCTAGGATAAGCACTTAACTATTCTTAAATCTTGAACCAAACTTAAATTTTCCATCTGTGCTAGATCAACTCTAGCTCTTGGAATCTTGTTATCTTCTGAGGTAACCCAATTTGTTTTTTTCCGGTCTAATTATAAGCTTATTATAGTGTAGTGATATACATGTGAGTGAGTAGGTGTAATCTTATGCCTCTGAATCACATACAGTATTGTAAACCAGTATTATTTAAAATACCAAAACACATATGCACACAGTTATTCCTGTAAATTGAGCCAAAATGCCATCCTTAAGTTTCACACATTGAAGTAAATCTAATTTCATATTTTAAAATTTATTTTTTAATATTTTATTTTATATAATTCTTACATCATTTTTCATCTTTGCACAATGTGTGCATTTTCATTATGGTTATATTTCCCATACAGTTGCACCCTCCCCCTTATTTTGACTCTAGTCCTTCCTCTCCCTGTCCCTCCCTCCCTAATCTTTCAAGTACTCACGTGTCTTATTAAAAATTTTAGAATCTTGTCAATGTTTAATACCACATTGCTTGCTTTTAGTTTTTAGTGTGTGACTTCTGTTCATTTGGAAATTAAAGAGATAGAGGGGTTAGTTAGCCTCTAAATGTAGAAAGAGGATAATCGGGGGTAGATAATTTTATATATACTTGGAAACGTGAAGCTAGAAGTGACCTAGAGACCTAGTCCAATGCAGGTGAGGTTGGGAAGTTTGAAGGTGATTGCCTAAATAGTTAGGAAAGGTCCCTGGATTAGAAGCCAGTTGTCCTGAATCAATTTCATGTATTTTGGGCCATGTAACTTCCTCCACTATTGACTTGGGGTTGGTTTTATTTACCGTTAATTGGGCAGAACCAAAAAAATAATATATTTGGTAATTTATTGTCTTAGCTCAATATGTGTGTCTTCATTTATACCTTAAAACTTCCCCTTCTAGGTGGTTATTGGTGGCAGAAATAAATATTTAATCAATGGAGTAAATGCAAACAATACCAGAGTACAGGATCTGTTCTGTTCTGTTGGCCTTAATGTTAACAACCCACACTTTCTCATCATGCAGGTATTTCATTTCACTTTTATTATGGTTTTGATACCTTTTGTTTTGTAGTTATTACAATAAGAAGTGCTTGTTTCCCCTTTAAATATATTTACTCTTGTGTTTGGGCACTGTTAAGAAATGTGGGTTAGTTATTTGTACTGATAAATTCTAACATGTTGTATACATCTGAATGGTGAAGAATGTATGGAAATAATCTTGACTACTTTGTTACAAGAACAGTACATGCTCATTGTAAAGACTAAAAATTATCACACTGTCCTTTTTTAAAGTATTGGATTACAGCTATACTTTAAATCTTTTTATTTAAAGTATTTCAAATCTTTATTAAACTTTCAATCTTTAATAAAGATTTGAAGCCATTTAAAGTTTAATAAAGATTTGAAACCATTTAAAGTTTAATAAACTTTAAATGGTTTTCTTCTTTAGAAGTTTGTGCAAATGAAAAATAAAGGCTAATGTCATTTTGTACTTACATTATCTCACTTGCCTCATTCAGCTGTCTTTTGAGAGAATCAAAGCAAAATCATCTGTAGGTTTCTAATGAGACCAAAGTAAAAATATTTTCACTATATTACAGTTTGAAAGCCGAAAATTTACTTCAAATGAAATCGGAATCCTTAGAAATATGATTTTCTGAGTGTTGGGTAGCAGGTTCTTTGAATGGGGGATTGTTTATTTGTTTCATTGGTATTGAATGCGTTTTATGACTTTCTGGCATATTGAAATGAAACATTTTACCATTCTATGTGAGACCCAGAAATACTATGTTTAGAAATTACTTTGAAGGACTGTCATTTAAAGAAATCAAGAAATGTTAAATAGTAATATTAAGATTTATGTCTACACTTAACTTTTGGAATTAGATGCTTCTATCTTAAGATACCTGTTTTCAGAAATATGGTAAGAGTTAACTTTGTATCATTTAATAACATATAATTTCTATTACTGGTAAATAAGAAAATGAACAGCAAAGTTTTGGAATTCTAGAATTATGAAGTACCTTTGGTCTCAAATCTAAGCAGAGAAAAATCTCATATAGGTAGACTAAAGTATGCCCAAAAGATTGTTTTATATTAGTAAACAACAGATTCAGGGAAGATAAACATATATGACTTTGTTTTACTTCTGTAATTTATTATCATGATAGTAAGTTTGACATTTTATTTTCAGGGCCGAATTACAAAAGTATTGAATATGAAACCTCCAGAGGTAAGAATGCTATTCTTATTTTAATCTTGTAGGTAATCAGTTATTTTACATAATTTCTTTCATTAAAATTCTTGGAAGCATTGTTTAGGCATGATTAGTCAAGAAAGTAGTTTAGTTTTGTTGGGGTTTTTTAATTCAGCGATGCCTAATTTTATGTGTGTGTGTGATGTACATCATCACCCTTCTGAGCTTTAGTATCCTCATCCATAAATTGAAGTCAGTGTCCTTATGCTAGGTTTGTTGTGAAGTTTAAATGCGAATGTTTAAAGGTTTGGGACATTGTTAAGCAGATTGTTAAAAATTGAGATGTAATTAACATATAACATTATATTAGTTTTAGGTATACAACATAATGACTTGAAATTTGTAAATATTGCAAATTGGTCACCATAGTAAGTCTAACATCCATTATTACACTCTTCGCAACTTTTAGTATCTATTATATATAATATATATTACACTATTTTAATTTTAACTATAGTCACCATGCGATATATTATATCTTTAGGACTTTTTGTTTTTTAGTAGAAAGTTTGTACTTTTTGACACTTGTGCCCATTTCATCCACTTTCTGTCATCCTTACTTCTGGCAACCCCACCAATTTGTTCTCTGTATCTGTGAGTTCAGTTTTTGTTTGCTTTCATATTCACATATAAGTGAGACCATAGAAATTTGTTTTTCTGTCTGACTTATTTCAGTTAGTATAAGATCCCCAGAGTCCGTCAGTGCTATCACAGTGGAAAGATTTCCTTTTAATTTATGGCTTAGTAGTAGTTCATGGTGAATATGTATCATATTTTCTTTATCCTAGTTCATGGTGAATATGTATCATATTTTCTTTATCCATCCATGGAAATAGAGGTTGCTTGCATGTTTTGGCTATTGTAAATAATGCTGCATGGAGCATTGGGTTGCACCTGTCCTTTCAACTTAATGTTTTTGCCTTTTTGACAGTGCAATTACTAGTTTTAAATTTTTGAGGCACCTCCATACTGTGAAACATAGTGGCTGTACCTGAAACATTCTTTTAAGCAGTATGCAAAGGGCTATTTTCTTTACACTTGTTTTTTCCTGCCTTTTTTGTTTGTTTTTTAAGAACAGCCATCCAAACTTGTAAAGTGATAATCCATTGTATTTTTAACTTAACACTTGCCTGGTGATTAGAGATGTGTTACACCTTTTCATCTACCTGTTTGCCATCTATATGTCTTTGGAGAAATCTATTTAGATCCTCTTTCCTTTTTTGTATTGGATTTTTGCTTTGTTTTTTTCCCCTGTTGAGTTGTATGAAGTCTTAAAAAAAAAATTTAAGTCTTTCTATTTTGGATATTAACCCCTTGCCAGATATATGATTTGCAAATAGTTTCTTCATTTCATAGGTTGCCTTTTTCTTTTGTCTATGGATTTTTTTCCCGTTATGTTTTGTTTCCTTTGCTGTTCAGAGTGTTTTAATTTGATGTAGTTTTTGGTGCGTGAGATTTAAAAATTGTCACAGTGACTGATGTCAAGGAACTTGACACATTTAGGTTTTCTCCTAGGAGTTTTGTGTGCCCAGTATTAGAAATTTGGATTTTATAAAGTGCCCTTTGTCGAGCAGTGTTCCATATCAGAGTTAAACTATAGAAAAAGATTTGAATGAAACTAAATTACATACAATGCGCTTCTTGGGGTTTTAGTGTTTGTTTTCCTCTTGCAAAGATGTTACATGAAGGAAATGGGATATGAAGGAATGAATGTTTTATACAACAAAGACTAGCTATTCTTTTCAATAGAGAAGAGATTAAAAAGACTAATAATTCACATATTCACTCTGGTGTGAACAAAGGTCATAAATTAATTTTTAGACATCTTAAGGGAAAACTTCTAATTTGAAAACTATCAATACATAGAAATCAAGGGGTTTTCAGAGAAATAATCCTTGAGATAGAGATTGATAGAATATAGATACTTCTGAAAAAGGAATGCTAGCAGGATTTTCCATATAATGTTAATATTTACCATTTTGAGAGTGCTTTTCAAAGGATTTTTTTTAATTCTTTTTTTGAAAGATTTATTTATTTTTGCATATAAGAACTGGGGTACAGGGCAGAGGTGCGGGAGTGAGAGGATTCACCAGAGACAGAGTGAGGGGCAGAACAGACAGATTGACTGGAATTCACTGCTGAGGGGAGCAGTGGGTGAGACGGGAGAGGTCTTCTGAGCCACGTGGGTCAGCTCCCAGGCAGGGTATTAAACTAGTGCTGCAGATAGCTTCATAATACTGTGTCTTAACCCCTTGCTCCACCAGGGAGGGTCATTTCTGTATTTTGGATATTAACCCCTTGCCAGATATGATTTACAAATAGTTTCTTCATTTTATAGGTTGCCTTTTTCTTTTGTGTATGCATTTTTTGTTGTTGTTCTGTTTCCTTTGCTGTTCAGAACATTTTAAATTGATGTTGTTTTTGGTGTGAGATTTAAAAATCATCACAATGACAGATGTCAAGGAGCTCACCACACTTAGATTTTCTCCCAGGAGTTTTATGTGCCCAATATTAGAAATTTGGAGTTTATAAAGTAATCTTTGTCAACCAGTGTTCCACATCAGTTAAGCTGCAGAAAATGATTTGAATGAAACTAAATTACATACAGTGCACTACTTAGGGTTTTGGTGCTTATTTTCTTCTTGCAAAGAGGTTGTATAAAGGGAATGTGGTATGAAGGAATGAATGTTTTGTACAAGAACAAAGACTAGTTTTTCTTCTCAATAGAGAAGACCTAAATAGACTGATAATTCACATATTCACTCTGGTTTGAACATAGGTTATAAATTAATCTTTTTTAATAATTTTTTTAATTTTTTAAGACATTGTTCATTTTTAAACAATATTTGCTTCCCACCCCCTCAGGTGTAGTCCCCATAGAATTTCCTTCACCAGTGCACCCGTGTACCATAACCTCAGTCCCCTGTGTTCCTACCTCTGATTCCTGTCCCTCTGCCTCCTCTGCAGTATGTCTCTGATTTATAATTGTCTGTTTTTGCTTTGTTGTATTTTGTACTGTTAGTATTTTTTTTACACTGATGTCTTAACTTGGTTAAGACATAGTGCTGAAACTATGTGAAACTATCCGATATCTTTCTTTTTCTTCCTGGCTTATTTCACTGAGCATAATTTCTTCTAGCTCCATCCACCTTGCTGTGAATGGCATGAGTTTATCTTTTTTGATGGCTGAATAATATTCCATTGTGTATATATACCACATCTTTCTGATCCAATCATCTATGTTTGGGCATTTGGGTTGTTTCCAAGTGTTGCCTGTTTGTAAATAATGCTGCAATAAGCATAGGGGTAAAGGTGTTCTTTTGGATTAATGTTTTTGTGTCTTTTGGGTAGATCCCTTGGAGTGGAACTGCCTAGTCACATGGTAGCTCCATTTTTAGTAGACTGAGGAACCTCCAGACAGCTTTCCATAGTGGTTGGACAAGTTTGCACTTCCACCAGCAATGTAGGAGAGTTCCTTTTCACCACATCCTCGCCAACATTTGTTGTTTTTGATACGTGCCATTCTTACTAGTGTAAGATGGTATCTCAATGTGGTTTTGATTTGCATTTCCCTAATGTTCCTGGATGTTGAACATTTTCTCACATGCCTGTTGGCCATTTGCATTTACTCTTTGGAAAAGTGTCTTTTAAGTTCTTCTGCCCATTTCTTGACTGGATTGTGTACTTTGTTTTTGTTGAGCCATGTGAGTTCTTTGTATATCTTTGTGATCAGTTGCATGGATTGCAAAATTTTTTTCCCAGTCAGTGGGGTGTCTCTCTGTTTTGGTTAATGTCTCTTTTGCTGTGCAGAAGCTTTTCAGTTTGATGTAATCCCAGGCGTTTATCTTTTCCTTGACTTTCTTTGCTTTGGGTGATGAGTCTTTAAAGATGTTACTGGGATGTATGTCTTGCAGTGTTTTACCTATATTTTCTTCTATGTATTTTATGGTTTTAGGTCTTATGTCCAGTTCTTTTATCCATTCTGAGTTGATTTTTGTGCATGATGAGAGATAGTAGTCTAGTTTCATTTTTTTGCACGTGGTAATTCAGTTTTCCCAACACCATTTATTGAACAAACTGTCGATGTTCCATTGCATATTCTTTGCTCCTTTGTCAAAGATTAGTTGTCCATATAAGTGTGGCTTTATATCTGGGCGCTCTATTCGGTTCCATGGGTCTTTGTGTCTGTTTTTGTCCCAGTACCAAACTGTTTTAATTATTAAGGCTTTGTAATTTTAATTATTAAGGCTTGAAGTTTGGAAGTGTGATACCTCCTTTCCCCTTTGTTTTTTCATCAGTAGGGCTTTGTTTGGCTATTCACATTTTTTTGTGGTTCCATATGAATTTCATCAATATTTGTTCTATTTCTTTGAAGAATGTCATTGTGATTTTTTATTGGAATAGCATTGAATCTGTAAATTGCTTTTGGTAGAATGGCCATTTTAATAATGTTAATTCTTCCAATCCATGAGCAGGGGATGTCTTTCCATTTCTTTGTCTTTTATTTCTTTTAACAGTGTTTTATCATTTTCTTTGTATAGGTCTTTCACCTCTTTTGTTAGCTTTATTCCCAAGTATTTGATTTTTTTGTTTGAATTATAAAAGGGATGGTTTCTTGATTTCTTCTTCAGCTTTATGTGTATAGGAAGGATACTGATTTTTGTGTGTTGATTTTGTATCCTGCTACTTTACTAAACTGGTTGATTATTTTCAGGAGTTTTTCTGTGGAGTTTTTAGGGTTCTCTATGTATATTATCATATTATCTGCAAATAGTGATAGTTGTACTTCTTCTTTCCCTGTTTGGATTCCTTGTATGTCTTTTTCTTGTTTTATTGCTCTAGCTAGGACCTCCAGTATTATATTGAAGATCACTGGTGAGAGAGGACATCCTTGTCTTCTTCCTGATCTTAAAGGAAAGGCCTTCAGTTTTTCACCATTGAAAATAATATTGGCAGTGGGTTTGTTGTATATGGCT